TATATATATATATATATATATATATAGAATGGGCATTTCAAGCAAAAATAATATTCGATGATCACTGGGTACTATTCGATTACAGTAGGTTTATTTAACATGTAGTAAGAAATATTACAGAATTTGATTAAACTGTATAAATAAAACACTGCATAGTCTTCACTGTATCAAACAACTGAACTGATTCTTATTAAAGAGCCAAAAGTGATCCAGTCAAGTGCAGGGAGTGACAGACAGCAGCAGGTAAATTAGACTGCAGGCCCTTTAAGACCAACTGTACGGTTCCAATATACTGAAATGCATCCGGTTTTCACCCAACTGTTTGTTTATTTAACACATAACTGACTGTTTACGTGAATACTCCACACGATGGGCATTTTGACAATTGTGTGCGTATTTGACCAAACAAGCACAAAAGAGATCCGTTTTCGCGATCACATGCTGTCTGAGAAGGGCTTTCAGTGCTGCCGCTTTGGCTGGGTGTCAGTCAGCGAGAGCAGCAGATTGAGTTCTTTTTCACTGCTTATTGCGCTTAACTATCAAGTGCATCCCACTCTTTATTTTCTCATTCATGCAGGTTTCCTTATCACTCAAAGGTGTATATAACTTTTAAAGTAGTACTATGTTACGCCGATATATTTGCATACTATGGAATACACAATATAGCAAAATCTCTAACGATAGACACTTTATTCCGTGGTAACGATTAGGGATGTAACAATTCACTCAACTCACGATTCGATTCACGATTTTGATTTCACGATTCGATTCATTTTTTTTAACAAAATGAGATTTAAGACAAATTATAAATTAAATGTGTCCTTTTATTTTTGCTTGGACAAAATACTGTACGTTTCTTTGTGAAATTGAAATATAGCACTATAATAATAATATAGCACTTGTAAATTATTGCTCTTTTGTTGGTTTTGATTGCTTCTATTGTCCTCATTTGTTATTCGCTTTGGATAAAAGCATTTGCGAAATAACAATTTAAATACAATGTAAATGTAAATAACAAAACTAAATTGAAATTTTAAAACAAATCAACAAATCAAATAAACACAAATAAAATAAATCTCTTCATATAAACAAACTAAGGCTTTGTCTGTGCTTTTCCACTTAAAATTAGAGGCAACCACTGCATTTTAATCATGATCCAAACAAAGATGCTAAACACATGCAACATGAGCAGTTTTTAATCTAAATTACATTGTATAATTTCGAAATTTTAAGCAAAAAGAGAATGGTTTGACTTCAGTTTTGTGAAACTATGCATAATAAAAAAAATCTGCATGAAACCGAAACAGCAGACGAGCTGAATGAGACGAAGATACACTCTCTGCCAGCAGGTGGCGCTTAAAGTGTTTCCTTGGTTACCTCTGTAAACAAAGCAGCTGCACTTATGAACTTTAATATGCATTATACAGAGGCAAAAGGAAAAGAAAAAAAATACCATTGAAAGACGCAAGTAGTAAGTTCCCCTCAGACATACATTCATATAAACTCCTACCCCTTCATTGAATCGCGATTTGTTTAGCATCTCAACCGATTTGAATCATCACATATTTAAATCGATTTTCAACCGGCTCGCGGTTAATCATTACATCCCTAGTAACGATATATATACCATCATACCGCCCAGCCCTACTACTAAATAATGTTCAAAAACGTAAATATTATGTCAAAAAAGCACCATAAAAAGTCAATGTGCTGTATTCGGAGTCCTCTAAAGACTGTTAATTGAGTGAGAAAAGAATTTGAAATTTAATTAAAAAAAAAAAATCATTATTTCCCACTAAGATTCTTGCTTAACAGTCATGGTCACATTTACTTTTATTTTATAAAAAACGCATATGATGCGATTTCAATTTTTCCTTTCTCTTTGGAGTATTACAAGCTTTTGGTGCATAAAGAAGATCTGTAAAGTTGCAAAGACTAAAGTCTCAAATCCAAAGAGATATTCTTTATAAAAGTTGAGTCAACCACGCCTACCTAAAACGGCTCATTCAAACACGCCCCCACATATCTACTTCGGTATGTGGGAAGATTTGCATAACGCTGCCCAAATGTTCATGCAAAGAAAGAAGTCGTAACTTTTATTCTCGCTGTAGTATTGTTGTTGCCGGCGCGGTGTGCTTCGTAGTGAAAGCGAAACTGCTTTGTTTGGTCTTCCAAAAGAGGACGATATCTGCTTCGTCATGCCTAGAGCTGATCCTTGCTGGTCGCTGAGGAAATACTACAACTTTGCACTGTGGATCGCCGGATCGGCTTTCACCGTGGACGAAGCGGAGTCCAGCCCGGAGTCGTCACATGTCCTTCCATACGCTCCTTCGTCGAAATCGCCGGCCACGCCGTTCTCAAGCCCACCCGCCTCTGCTCACTCCAATCCTCCGGTTGTTCCTCACGCTAACCCCCGGCCTCTGCTCACTGTAGGCCGCCGCCACTCACTCTAGGCCACCGTGTGTGACGCGGTTTCATTGTGAAAGCGAAACTACTTTGTTTGGTCTTCCAAAAATGGACACGACGTTTAACAAGGCTTTGGTTTTCAGAAGATCTGGGTTCATTTTTTATTTAACCATTACATGAGTTAAGATTTAATATTCCTTTAACAGTGCAGCAAAAGTCACCTTCAAAGTGGAAAACTGTCTCCATTTGCCAACAACACAAAAAGAACACTGGCTGCTGTACAGCAGGAATTGTGAGAGCATGTACTTACTTTCTGTAGGCAGTTTTCACATTGTACGAGGCAGCAGAGTTCAGAACTGGGATGCCAAGATCCAAGTAGATCTGTTTCCAAATAGAGCCACTTTCAATCTAAAAAACAAAATAAACCATCTCATTACACAAGTCTTTTTGATGACTAAAAGCGCTTATTCTTGCTGCACAGAGCTATTTAACAAGGCTTTGGTTTTCAGAAGATCTGGGTTCATTTTTTATTTAACCATTACATGAGTTAAGATTTAATATTCCTTTAACAGTGCAGCAAAAGTGTCTCCAAGTGGAAAACTGTCTCCATTTGCCAACAACACAAAAAGAACACTGGCTGCTGTACAGCAGGAATTGCGAGAGCATGTACTTACTTTCTGTAGGCAGTTTTCACATTGTACGAGGCAGCAGAGTTCAGAACTGGGATACCAAGATCCAAGTAGATCTGTTTCCAAATAGAGCCACTTTCAATCTAAAAAACAAAATAAACCATCTCATTACACAAGTCTTTTTGATGACTAAAAGCGCTTATTCTTGCTGCACAGAGCTGGTAGTGTCATGCACATCTGTCTACCGCACCCTGGGATCAGATAGCTTAGAGAAACATGACATCACTCGAACAAGCACAACCGTTTTCCCAATTATCACCTCTCCAAACTTCCAAATATAGCTACCCTCAATAACATTCACAGAACATGCATTTGATAAACAAGCAATTTTTTGTTAACTCCGTCCAGCTCTGTGAACCTCAATTCAATCAGCGGCCACTTTCGCTTCATATTTTTGGCAAGTTCTCACTTCCCACTTGCCGAATTCAATCAACAGACGGTGGGAACACTAAGAACACTCACATTGTCACAGCCTCCGTGAACATGCACCAGTCGGAAGAGCTTGAAGAGGTTGAGATCCTTGTAGCCAAGCACTGGAGGTTTGTTAATCGGTGTCCCTGGAAGGAAAGCAAAGGTATAGAGAAGCGTTAAACTGAAAATGTTCCCTGCAGAACTGGTCATGAGATTAGTCTATGGGAAAAAAATATATAAAATCATTGAACATTTGAGGCCACACACACACACACACACACACACACAAAGACTATAAAAGACATCCACCATGATATACGCCATGTAACCGCCCCCATGAAAATTGCTAATCCTAATTTAATCTTTTCCCATAGTGATTATAACTCAACTGGTGGTGTCTAAACTGCATTTTTACATTTAGGAAAATGAATCATGGAAAATGAACAATAATGTTGCCAAAATAATGCTTGTTCCAGCTCAGGATCCAACTGGGAATCAGGATATTGTGCTCTTTAATTCAAAGCATGTTATTTGTTATTTATAAGGACCTAAGTGTAACAGTTTGAGAGCATAACAACAAAACTGAAGCGTACTATAAGAAGCTCGGTATGAACTGTGCTATTGCACTTATACATCAGAGGTCATTCACATATAGAAATCTTAAGGGTACATTAGCAACGGCCTGTTTAAATATAATGGACAAAGGGCTCCAGACTGCGACCATTTTTTCTGCCTGTGCGAATAAATTTTGTGAGCGGTCGCAGTGGCGAGACCACCGTGTTGTTCAACTCATAAGCATTTCTGTTGCATATGAGAAACATCAAACGGCAAAGAAACCGAAAGCATAATGAAACCGCACTACTCATTTGAACTGCGCAGCGCTTCGAGAGTAGAGCCTGGTTTATAATCGCCGCGTCAGCAGGAGCGCGAAGCTGCGCGCAGCTAAAAATGACGCGAATATTGAGAAAACGATGGATGGTTTTCAAGCTAAAGACCGCTTCTTAAACCAAAGAAGAACATGTTGGTATTCTTGTGGGGGAAAAAAAATTAATAAAAAGCACTGTCACCGACAGCAAGTTTAGTTTTACTTTTATTTTCATTTTGAAAAGCTTATCTTTGCGGTTTACCTCACGTTATGCTATGAAGGCTCTCTTTAATTAATTTTTTTATTTGATTCCTCAGTGTTTGCTAAACATTCTGTAATTTATTAGTCGGTATATAATACAGCATGTGGTGTATGCCATGCCTCATCTTATTTTTGTTAATAAACGTTTTGTAAGCTAGTTTGTCATTGTATCTTATGGTTTATTGTTGGTGTGATTTTTTATTAATAAAGAATCCATCTTTTGTTTTAGTCTTAAAAAGTGAAATATGTATAGATGTTTGTAAGCAAATCAGACAATTATCTTTTCTTGCAAAATGTGACAACAAGATCGTGAATTCAAAAGTGAAAGAATCCGAAGAACGGCTTATAACATAGCAAAAGAGGAACTCCCGTTCACAAAATTCAAATCACAAACACTGTCAAGAGCAACTACTTAGAATATCCTTGCAAGAATGTGCAACACAAACGTCAGGCACGTGTTGCTCCATTTTACCCCAGGCTGTCTTGTTTCAGTCGATTAAATACCCAAGAACGGCCACAAACCAAGATCTTAAGAGAGAAAACAAAACACTGATGGCGTAAAAACGAGATTTTGCACCAAAAAAAAAAAGTAGTGTGGATTAACCTTAAAACAACATACTTATGACTGGTAGGTGCCAATCCCAATAAAGCCATTTGTAAGCTTATTGTTTGTTCTCACGACATGAATGAGTTTCCATCTTACTGACTACTCTATATAGAAAGATGGACGTTTTGTAGATGATACTTGAATGGTCTGTGGAGCTAGTGCACAAAGCAGGATCATCACCTCCTGGTTTTTTTTTTGTGGGCCTGCTTATGTTACTAAATCATGCAGTGTGAAGTGCATCAAACACTTCTGCATTAAAGCAACACAACCCTTTTTTAATAACAAATCTGTGCATAGTCACCAGCAGAAAATGACACGTGTTTATCCTCTTTGTCATCTGTCACTGGCTTGACAGATAAGATGCATTGCACTCTGAACTTACACTTTTTTTGTGGAAACTCACAGAAAAAGCTCTAAAATGATTGTTTGATGATTGACGATGCACATTTCAAGAACTGTTTAACGGGGACAGTTTAGAAAGCATACGTTTCTGAGCGATATATACACCATATGGCAAATCTTAATTGTTTGATGCAAACAATTGTTCGATTAATTGTTGCAAAACAAACCGTGTTATCCCCCAGTGATATAAAGTACACAACATTTTCTGCCTGTACAGTATACTCACATATAACGATATATACTATATTAAATCTCAATTGCTTGATTGTTTAAATCACCACAAAATGTAAACTATAGTGTCACTCAGCGATATATTTAAAATGACTGATATACATTTCAAAGCGATGTATACTATATAGCAAATCTATAAAGCATGAAGATATTTAGGCATTACAGACACTACAATCATGATTTGCTGTAAAGCTGCTTTGAAACAATGTGCATTTTGAAAAGCACTATACAAATAAAACTAACTTGACAAGACAAATGGATAGACTCATCAGATTGATTAAACTTACCTTAACTTTCACAATGCGTTTAACAGTCTTGATTTTTGCCTCGCAGAAGGCACCACGGTACTTTGCGCTCACGTCCGTCCCCACAGTCAGGTAGGCAGGCTCATCTGCTACCTGTGGACAGTGTAAATATTATTAAGGTGCACAGACAAATTCATACCAACACTTTCTCTCTGCATATTTACGGTTATATAAAGCATGTGTAAAAACATCTAAGAATACTTCAAGAAGTAACAGCATTCAAATGTTATGAAAATGACTATTTTGGGTATTCTGAAAGCACTTATACAGTCTGACTACCTCAATCATTGAACTACTGAGCTTTTCTTATCACAATTTCTATAAAAGATCCATTCATATGGGATTTATTCACTGAAGTGTTTTGTTCCAGATGCATGTTGTGCTTCATTTAGGGAGAGGCGTCGCATATCACAACTGCAGAGGATCACAGACTCACCTTCATCTTGATGGCTATTTGAGGGAGTCCAGCTCGATTGGTTTTGACTGCTGAAACAGAACAACACACACGCATAAAGAAACAGAGTCACGATCTGGCGCCATGTGCTAAAAACGTATCATATGTATTCGTGTGGAAGATTTGACAGCACAACACAAATACACACAACAGAGAAAATGCTAAAGGAGCTAACGTGGCTAGCCAGTTCTCGTCCTCCTCCCTTCAAAATGATCAAATAAACCAAACCAACCCATCAAAACACAGCTTCAACTGCATCACCGTGACTTTACCTCCAATCTGAGCCACTCACGATGTCTTGATGGTGTAAAAAAAACAAAGCACGGAGTCACTGAAGGAAAACATAACCCCTTCAAACCCTGCGTGTTTCCTTCCCGCTTTACTCACTGTGTGTGTGTGTGTGTGTGTGTGTGTGTCACGTCGCCATCATAGCTCTCACACCGTCCTGCACCATGTCAGCCCCTCCACCATCCACTAACCCCACATTCCCCTCACTTAACACTATATTTGCCGAGGTATTGCGTACGAAGGACGAAAAACTGACAGCTATGATGGTTATTGACGCCTGTCGATCAAATTGTGACGGTTAAGATAGCTGTTATGGCGATTTAAACTGTTCGTCGGGTTAGTTCCGCAACATTTATGTGAGGCGACTTTTCCCTTCAGACTGAGTTACAAGTTTATGGCTATAAACTGGTCGGTTTTGAGTGGTTAGTTCAAGTAAAAGTCGTCGGCTAAATCCCGGATCCTGTGAGAAAACAAGCCGACTAACGTTAACGTTAGGCTCTGCCATTCAATTTTTTTTCTCTTCGTCGCCTAAATACCTTTGCTGGAAACCAAGGGAAAACGGCAAATATGACTGGATTACTTTCAGACTAGCGAGTTTAAATAAGACGGATGTGAATATACGGGTTTAATGAAGCAAAATCGGTGTTTGAATGTTGTGAGGAAATATAAATGTGTACTTACATGCTCCTATATGACTGCTTCAGCTCAGCATTCGACTAGGTCGCAAAGGCATAGACGAAATAACAAGCTGTTGAGCTGAGGTTGTGTTTCTCGGATCCCTATTGGCTGCCGGGGCCACAGTGGGCAAATCCCGAGCATTGCGATTGGCTGCCCGCTAAGCAAAATCCTATTGGCTAGACTGAAGCGCGTAACCCGATTGCTCAGTACGAAAGAGGCGCTGCGATTTATGCGCTCTCATTGGTGTTCTTTGATTCTCACTCTTTGCAAATAGAAGAAATCCATCCTGGCCTCCGATTGGCTAGCTGTTTCCTGTTCTGCGCTGTCCGCGGTTCTGATTGGTCGAATTGACTCAGAAGCGTCCCGACTGCGAAGCCCATTGGCTGGAGGGATGTATGGGAACAGATCTTCATTTCAGAGGGAAAGGCTCTGCTCAGTTTGCGCATGTCGAAGAAAAGAGAGCATTCGCCATTTTGTACCCAACGTAATTATTTTCGCATTCTAGACTCGGAGCCCGTGAGATTTCGCGGTGAGCCCCGTGACTGTTTTTGTCTGCTTCTCTAGTCGGACCGAGTAACCGCAGCGTCGTTAGCTTAAATGTGTTCTTTATGTGATTTGTATATTAATTATTTTACCACTAAATCGTTTTAGACGCGGTCGTGAAGAAAAGGTCAATGGAAGGCAACGGTAATGGCGTCTTTATGTCGTTGCTGTGGAGAGCGTGGCGGCGGGTTTGTTAACCACGTGACCGGAACAGAGCGCCACAGTAAGCACGTGTGACAAGTTAAATGCTTATTCACTGACACCTGCGTGATTTCTAATTATTATGCATGATCACAGTGTTACCTTTAACGTGACATTGAAGTATTGGGATTTTGAATCAGAAATGGGACAAGACAGCATTTTGACTGGGTATTTTAATGTTTTAAGGGTGTGTATGATAGGTATTAAGGAATGTGTTTGATTAGCAAACGTGACTGGACCAGTAGAGTCATATGCTTATGGCGTTAATGGTTATTAAATGGTATGATTTTAATGTGTAAAGAGAATCCATATGTGTGCAGTGTTGACCCATTTGTATACAATGTCTATCTATGATGTGTATCAGTCAATAAATCTGTCAGTTTCCCTATGAATTAATCAGAATATACATTAATCAGTGAGCACACATTACATTAGGGGTGTCAAACTCAGTTCCTGGAGGGCCTGAGCCCTGCAGAGTTTAGATTCAACCCTAATTAAACACACCTGATACAACTAATCAAGTCCTTCACGCTTATTTGAAAACTACATGGTATGTGTGTTGGTGCAGTGTTGGAACAAAACTGGCCTCTGGTCCTCCAGGAATTGAGTTTGACATCTCTGCATTACATAAATGCATGGGAAAGCAACATTCAGACTCCAGGTGTCACACATAAGTGCTAAAAATAGAAGCCTCAAACCCCAAGAAAACTACAAAAAGATCTCACAATAATTGTGCATGCACTGCCAGTTAAACATTTATGCTTTTCATAATCTTAAAAAATAATAATTGAAAGGCTTCTGCTTAAATGGTTGAGTTTTGTAGAAAATCTGCCTGTGTAAGTGACAACAAATGTCTTTAAATTATGATTACTACACCATTTATGTCAAATCTAAATATTCATATCAGTGGATTAACATGGTATGCAGTGTTGGAACAAAACTGGCCTCTGGTGCTCCAGGAATTGAGTTTGACATCTCTGCATTACATAAATGCATGGGAAAGCAACATTCAGACTCCAGGTGTCACACATAAGTGCTAAAAATAGAAGCCTCAAACCCCAAGAAAACTACAAAAAGATCTCACAATAATTGTGCATGCACTGCCAGTTAAACATTTATGCTTTTCATAATCTTAAAAAATAATAATTGAAAGGCTTCTGCTTAAATGGTTGAGTTTTGTAGAAAATCTGCCTGTGTAAGTGACAACAAATGTCTTTAAATTATGATTACTACACCATTTATGTCAAATCTAAATATTCATATCAGTGGATTAACATGGTACGAACCTGAGACGTATGTTCATTAAAATATCACGTTCATCCTAGTCACACTTTTTTTTTTGAAGTCTAATACTATAACATGCATGCTTGGGTTACAGTATCATGGATAGAAATGTCATAAGTAAATTCTAACATACTGGGTTTTGCTTTGAGGCTCCATATGCTGATGGCTAACCATAAATTCAGGGTCAAGTCCTTGCAGCTCACTGCAGATAAACTGTTTATCTATACCCAAATGCATGTTGTATTTAGTGCCTTATACCGAACCTAGTAATATTCACATTCTTCTGACAGGGTATGCATAAATATCATTCAATTGACACCACAGAATTTCTAAAAGAGAAGGTGGATCCTTTGCCTAAGCTTGCTGTCCAACTAATGAACGGTAATTATGGCAATTTAGGAGTCTGAATCAGAGCTTCATTCTCTTTTATAAATCGTATTTATTGTCAAGTCTGAAACCCACAAAAGGAAAACATAGGACTACATTAGTCCATTACAAAACATAAAAAAACATTTTATTGTCTGCCGGAAAGTTGAGAGTTGCCAGGATGTCTGAAACATGGTACAGTCAGTGTGAAATGGAAAAACGGGAGGTTTGCAACACTGTGTTTACATGTTGTCCTCATCAGAGTCATCCTCCTCCTCCAGGGATTCCTGTCAGGGCAGAAATATGACAGTAAGTCATGCTGAAGTGAGCTTTTGTTATAACTATTACCAGAGGGACAGTTACTTACTTTAGCATATTTCTCGGCCTCCTCTTTGATGTCTTTGGGGACAAGCTCGTGCCTTCCTTTTGTGACTAAAAAGAGGGGCAATATATATATATATATATATATATAAATAAATTAAACACAATTTCTCTTTTCTGCTGAGACACCATCAAATCAGGCAAAAAAAAAAAAAAAAATGTGTGTAGTGTAGGAGTGACGGATTGAATCATATTACACCAACATCTGAAAAATAATCTAAATAAATATATTTATTTCTTTTTTTCCCCCCAACATTAAAAATAGACTGGGAAAAAAATAAACGGGGTTCTACGACAAATTCAGCACTGAACACAAATGCAGTATAAAAAAAAAACAGTCTTAAACTTAAAGGGCTCATGAACTCGGCTGCAGTACGTATTAAGTATTACAATGATTTTCCTAAAATGAGGTCCAAAGAAATGTAGTGATAGAAGTAGAATATAAAATCCAGTAATTTCCCCCAACATTAAAAATAGACTGGGAAAAAAATAAACGGGGTTCTACGACAAATTCAGCACTGAACACAAATGCAGTATAAAAAAAAAAACAGTCTTAAACTTAAAGGGCTCATGAACTCGGCTGCAGTACGTATTAAGTATTACAATGATTTTCCTAAAATGAGGTCCAAAGAAATGTAGTGATAGAAGTAGAATATAAAATCCAGTAATTACCTTCTCCAACCCAGCTAAGCTCCAGCTCAAAGGCTTTGTCTTTCACCTCATCATGAACAATATAGATACTGAGAAGAGATGACAGTTTTTAAATTGTGTAAATATAAAATCTAAATAGTTATGGCATGCTATAAATATGTTTTCAGAGTCCCACAACCATGGACAACTTGGAAATAGCAGGAAAGTTGAACATGTTAAGGCCTGGAAGAGTCACAGAATTTAATTTCTATTTTGTATAATGTATGATCCTAAATGCAATCTCAATAAGATGATTTTTAAAAAAGGCCAATGCAGGGAATTATGAAAAAAATACAAAAAAAAAAAAAAGAAATTGACTGGTCAAAAGGTGTTCATCAGCAGCCAGCATTATTGTAAACTCAGCAACCTTACAGATAAGAAAAAAATCAGCTGAGCTAGACCTTTAAACGCTGACGCACAACACTTTAGCGTTTGACTGGTTTTGTTGGTATATGGTTTGTTTTCGTGGATCTCTGCTGCTCTCATGTGTTGTATATGATTGATCCGATCGATTTTGAAGTCATCTCAATTCAAGTTTATAATTAAAACACGCTTACATTTTTGCCACTTCCTTCACCAGTTCTCTGCAGGTCATTTCTTTCATCTGAAATACAAGATGAACATTTACAAGTTTACCTACTTTAATCTGTTGACATTAAAATGGAAGCTGCTAAACAAATTCAGTATTGTAGTTGTTTTGAAATGACAAATCTTGTAATGACACAATGCTGTTACTTATTCAGGGCTGTTTTAAATTATGTTGTCCCTGCAGTAATGAAAGGAGCTGACTCTTGTTTGAACATGTTCCAAAAAAAGGCTGCCAAACATGCTTATACTAAACACCACAGCTGTACTGTTAACAATAAAGACCTGTTAGATTGAATGAGAATGAATGTATGATAATAAATGAGAGGCAATGACATTTTCTGTACTACAGCCCTGTAGATATATATATATTTATATTTTAACACCTACCTGTAGTTTCTCAATTTCTGTCTTGGCAGCTTGCTTGGCTTTTCCAATAGCACACCCCCAGTAACCCTAACAAACAGACACTAAACATTAATGACAAAGGCAAACACATGTACAGGAGGTTCAGGTTAATGAAAACAATGTGTAATCTGCATTGATATTGAGTGTTGGAAGGAGTTCAGATGTATGCTGGACACTGTTTGGCTGCTTTTCCATCACTACAAAGGTAACATTGTAGGGTTGTAACGAAATTCATACATTCAAACTTCATGAGAACCATTCAAAATCATGAGAAACAAATTCAGAGCAGTGTATCCAAGCTGGTAGTGTATATTAAGTATTAAGGTATTGATTAACAGAGATCTCTTACGTGTGAAATCCCAGAAGGGTCAACCATGTAGAGCTGTGGACCATCATCTTCATCATACGATCCCAGGATGAAACTGAAGGGTTAAAAAAAAAAATAATACATACATAATCAGAAGAAATGAAACTTACATTATGCAATGATAATGCAAATGAAAATTCATTATTGAAACTTTACAAAAGACCTACCTGCATCCAAAAGGCCTCACAGCGCTGTATAATGTGTAAGCATGGACATACATGGCCACTCTGTCTGCAAGATGCTGTTTGGAGAATATGAACACAGTATATCACTGACCAGCATATCTTTGTAATTTCTTTGTTTAACCGTTCAATTAAAAAAAAAATTGCTTCGAATATATACACATCATATAAGACATAATTTAATACAGCACATGAAGACTATTGTGTATGTTTGTTTTTTTTGGGGGGGGTTTGGGGGGAGTCAATGGCAGACCTGCCAACCTTGGAAAACATTTTTGAGTACCATCAGTGTGACTGGATGGAACGTAAGGTTTTGGGGGGCATGTAATATACTCCTAGATAGCTACATGAAGCTCCCTGATGGCTAATGTCAAAATCGTCATTGCACAATGTGAAAAATGCATGGTTAAGGCATGGCCATTGCTCCTGATACTTTGTGAGGAACTGCTGTTGGGCATGGACTCTTTTAGGTCTGCTGCTCTCTCTCTCTCCCTGTCAGTGTTCTCATCTGATCTCATGTTTTTTTTTAGCTGTAAGGCACTCATGCACACAAACACCTCTTTCTACGTAACATAATTTCTCCTGCACATCCATTCACTTTTTCCCATCCTGCCATAATCTGCTTTAGTAATTATTATGAATGTGAATAAAAAGTCACGTTTAACAATTTGGTCACTGAGCATATAGCTTTACATTACTTTGCCAACTTAAAGCAGCACTATGTAACTTTTTCTGTGTTCAAAATCTGCTAAATGTATATAATGAACGAGTGCATCATGAATTCATCTTCCAAACCGCATTTTTGTCATTCTAATCTTAGAAGAATGCTCTTAACTTTTCCAAACTTTTATTCTCGCTGTAGTATTGTTGCTGCCGCCGCCATGTCGTGAAGGCGCTGTGTGCTTCGTTGTGAAAGCGAAAACAACTAATTTTTTTGGTCTTCCAAAAGAGGACGATATCTGCTTCGTCATGCCTAGAGCTGATCTGTGCTGGTTGCTGAGGAAATACATCAACTTTGCGCTGTGGATCGCCGGATCGGCTTTCACCGTGGACGAAGCAGAGTCCAGCCCGGGGTCATCACATGTGGTTGCCCCAAGTCTCCTTCGTCGAATCCGCCGGCCGCACCGTTCTCAAGCCCGCCACCTCAGCTCACTTTAGCCCCCGGCCTCTGCTCACTCTAGGCCGCCGTGTGTGATGCGGTTTCGTTGTGAAAGCGAAACTACTTTGTTTGGCCTTCCAAAAATGGACACGACTAGAAATCAGTGGTTAAGTTGTATTTACAACACCGTTCCAGAACACTTCAACCCAAATATTCGGAAGTGTGCAGCACATTTTATGGAGGACTGTTTCCTGATCCTGGGAGAGTAGACTACAATGCCGGCTGTTCTGACTCACAGATTGTAAGTACGTTTTTTATATTTAAAGCGAGTTTTTTGGGCAGTGTAGAGTAGCACTTGTTGTTTGTCATTTCTCCGATCACAAATGCAGACATGGTTTTATGTTTACGCAGCGCGATGCAACGCAACGCGTAAAAATACAGTATAAATCATTATAATCTGTAATTATGTCCCCACTGGATGCAACGAATGCCTCGTTTATAATGGGTTTTCATGTTTTTGAATCATCGCTCCGGCCTGACGGCATCATCACAATATGGTGAGGGGCGTAACATTTCAGTCACACGCTTGAGGTATTCGGCCAATCACAACGCACTGGATAGCTGGCCAATCACAGCACACCTCGCTTTTCAGACCGATGAGCTTTGTAAAAATCGACGCGTTTCAGAAAGGCGGGGCATAGAGGAGAAAAAAATAATATACATTGTGGAAAATAATGTGTTTTTTTAACCTTAAACTGCATAAACACATTTCATTACACCAAATAATGTTCTTTTTAGCAACATCATATGACCCCTTTAAGTTAACTTAATATTTCTACTTTCCACATCCACCCCAACCAGTTTACCTTAAGGAGTTAGAAGTGCAGTGACTGCTGTACTGTCCATCGCTTAAAGAAATCAGTCAGACGGTGGGAGTGGAAGGGGGATCGAGCGGGATTTTGTGTTACAGTCTCTTTTTAATGATAGGCCTTATGCATTTGTCAATCATTTCTGCTTGCTATTTGGGGAATGAACTCTTCTTTTGCAGTTGCTTGATTTGAGTACTGCGTGTGTAGTTTTTGCGTAGTTTAGAGTGACAAATCTACCAGCGTACTTTGAGGTCAAAATGCGTAAAGGTTGGCAGGTCTGCAATGGCGGTAGAATGTACATTTTTCTGTGATCTATTGCTTTAGTCTCTCTCTTACCTTCAGTGGGATGTCATGGCCATAGTTGGAGCGGAAGTTTGAAGCCTCTTCTCTGGACACTTCTGAGAGAGATCGTGCATCTGCTAGAAGACCAGCCACAGCCTAGAAGACATACAGTCAGGGATTCATATGCATGTAAAGATTTACACTACCATTCCAAAATTTGGGGAAAGTAAATGAATACTTTTATTCAGCAAGGATGCATTAAATTGATCAAAAGTGACAGTAAAGACATTTTTAATATTACACAATATTTCTATTTCAAATAAATGCTGTACTTTGTTCATCAAATAATGTAATGTATAATAATAAGACATATTTCTTGAGCACCAAATCAGCATTTTAAATGATTTCTGAATGATCATGTGACATTGAATTTTCAGCAGCCCTTACTCTAGGCTTCAGCTTTGCCATTACAGTAATAAATTACATTACAAAGAAAAGTTATTTTAAATTCTAATAATATTTCACTATTACAAAACAAATCATCAAATAAATGCAGCATTGAGTTTTGTGCATCGTGTGTGTGTGCGTGTGTGAGAGAGAGAGAGCGCGAGACACATCACAGTGGAGTCAGCTGTCTTAACCGTGGCTTGTGTACTGCACACATATTCATCACTGTGTCTGTCACAAGACTCTGTTCCCCTTTCGGGCTCTGTCTTTACATTTATTTTGAAAGATGAAGCTCGCGATTATGGTAAAGGGCGTTACATTTCCGACGAGTGCTTGCGGTGTTCGGCCAATCACAATGCACTGGGTCAGCTGGCCAATCAGAGCAGACTGCGCTTGTCGGAAGGAGGGACTTTGTAGAAAACGAAGCGTTTGAGAGAGGCGGGGCATAGAGGACCTACAATAATGTACAGTATTAGAAAAATAATGTGTTTTTTGAACATTAAAGCATGTCAACATATTCTGTTACACCAAATACACAAAATAATGATCTTTAAAAAAAGCATCATATGACCCCTTTAATATGTAGATGTTTCTGGCTTCAATTATTTCACGTGTAGTAGTATTTAATTAATTACCTGCTATTTTCAACAGCCTTCATGGCATATTCGACCTGAAATACCCTTCCATCAGGTGAGAAGGTGGAGGCGGATAAATCATACTGGAGAGAGAGAAGAGAAATGCTGTCAACAATTATTACTTGTGTTCATTTCATATAAATAAACCATTCGAGCATTTTTTAATCACTGCAAAAATAATAAACACAGCTGGGCATCAATAACAAGGCTAAAAAAAACTCAAAAGTGCAGAGCAGCTTTCGTACTGCACAACACGTTTACTTTCACTTTACCTCCACAGTGACTTTTCATTTGAACTGCTATCGTTGTTAGCGAGCAGTGACTCGGCAGAGGCAAAATAGTGCAAAAAATACACAATTAACCCAAGTAAACTTAAAAATATATATATTTAACCTAACTTAGTATGAAAACTCTTTATGAACTTTAATTAGGTTGGCACAGAATAAAACACTAACCCAGATCCTGCACACTAGCAGTAGCTTATTAGCTTCAGAATGACACAGACATACACGCATTCCTTATGTACTCGCTCTTTCAGGATCAGATCTCAGTCACACACTATGATAAATGTTGTATTATTAAATCCACTCACCCCGGTCCCAATAGAGCTCATTGTTATTGGCGGTGATCAACTATAAACGTGAGGAAGTGCTCAGCATAAGCAGCCGCAGACTCTCCAGCGTATCGGCTCTCCCTCGGTTGTGGCTAGAGGGGCTACAGCTCCGACCGGAAACGGAACAATGAAATTAATTTTCTACCTTTTATATCGTGTTTTATTAACGTCTACACCTACCCCAATCCTAAACCTACCCCTTACAATAATGAAAAAATTGTCATTATTGTTGTACAGTGTGACAAAAATTACGCTATATTGATGTGCGCATGCTCAGTAGCGCCATGCGTATCCCTTCTAGCCTTAACCCTCTCCCACCAACGAGCTCTGTGATTGGACACCATATCGACCAATCAGATTCTCTCGAGCGTCAAGAGGGTCAGTCTTTCACATTAAATGTTGGATACTAAAAAAGAAAAGTTAGCGTCTTTACCGTATTTTTACATTGGAAGATTTATATCTATCTATCAATCCATCCATTTATTCAATCTTTAATTTTAAAACCCTAAAACTTTTCAGGTTGAAATGAAAAAGATTTTCAGATTTTCACAGGGAGACTTTTTCACCCGCATTGTATTTCTAAATATTCTGAAATATTTTACTAAACGGTAATAAACATTCATGAACCAAACCAAAGGTGACCTCAACTGTTCCAAAATATCCAAATTAAAATAATCAAAAGTTAATAAAATAATCAGAAATACACAAGTGTACCATAAATGGAATGTATTATTTTATTACATATAAATTCAAAGTCATTCAAAAAGGAGTCCTTTCCCTTCAGAACAGCTGTTGCTGCCAGACCACACATGGCCAAGACAAAAGAAGGAAAGAGAAAAAGGCATATCATAACAACACTCAAATACTCTTACCACCGTTCTGTAATTAACAATTCCAATGCTACAATTGCTTCATAAACCCTTCAATTCAATCACCTAAATCCCTCTTGTATTATTACGGTATGATTAAACAAAACTAGTGAAACACTATTTTTCACACTAAAGATTCTTCAAATCGACAGGACCATCAGTTGGTCAGTATATGCTACAGGCTCAGATCTCATCCAGAATCACACCGGCTGCTCTCCGTCACAGCTAAATTGCTTCGAACTCAAGTGTTGTGGATCTTAGACATCCAGACTACTGTAATCCCTGAGACATATTTCATATATCAGCTGGCGAGCGTCTAAAAGCACTCACTCTGGTATCTCTCATAGGGTGGGACATCCATCTCCTGTCCGATATCGGGTTACACTAGCATGGACAAGCATCTCTAATGTACCCATCACGTAAATAAATGCAGGTATATAATATAATCATGATGTTAACATCAGTTAAGCTGGGTATATTTTTATAGGCACAGGAGGTAGGCAATAATTTGCACTCAGGGTGACTAACGGAAGATGTGACTGAAAGGAAGTCAGGGCCCAGATTTGCTTGGGGCCTAGATGTTTCTGAATCGGTGAAAAGAGGCACCCACAACTATGATTACAACAGATATGACGTTTCGGAGAGGTAAAAATCACCATTGCCGAAGTTCTTTAAATCTTCCTCCTGAAAATACATACACGCAGATAGTTTTTGCACGTAAAGAAATAAGTGGTTTTGGCTTCCTATTACATCCTTTCCAAAGAATAGTTCCTCATTCGAACTCAAACATAACTAAAGTACTAAGGTGAATCTCATGAAAGCATGGCCAGGTCACATAAAAATAATAATAATACAATTTAATAAAAACACAAAAAAATTAAACCATAAAAACATAATAAAATAACAAATAAACAATACAATAAATTAACAAAATAAAATCAAATTGAATATTATAATGCTAATGGCAAAGAAATAACACACCTCTCCTTCATTACTTCTTTTTTAGCATGTTATTTACATGCCAGTTAAGCACATTGTCCTTTTTTAAAACTGAATTTTATTTGTAATTCCAATTATTTTTAATTGAGATCACTACAATATCTTTCTTTCTTTTGATTTTGGCGAGAAATATGACTGGGACATGTTCTTGATGGTTTCATGAGATACACCCACACAAGCTAAAATTACTATCCTTAAAACATTTCACTTCCCTAGAGTTAAAAATCAAGCCATGTTCCCTTAATTAAAAGTGGCATGTGAATTCAGTCGTTGTGTTGTAAAATAAGCTAAAGATATAAAAAAGACATGAGAAAATGAGAGCGGAAGACAGAATTGTTTCCATGTTTGGGATAATGTGCAACTGCTCAATCACTTGTTAAAGTGGAATATGATGATGCTATGGAATGAGAATAAAGACGTGACTTGAGTAGGCAGAGCAAAAAACAAGGAAGCAATAATATTCGACCAATGAGGATAAAGCAATGTTAGGTCAAATATGGACTCCACAACACTTCAGTCATGCTAAATTTGTCTGCATTTCCACTTGACATTAACATAGCGGGCTACTGTGTGCATCAGCATCGATTGATTTCAGTCATAATATAATGGCTCTGGGTGCTCTTCTGCATATTATTTTAAGATTACTGGCCCTTGTTGGAGTAATGTGCATGAAGTGAATGAATACGAAGCCATTTTAAGACATAAAGGTTCTGGATAGGAGTAAAGAAAAACAAACTGAAAACATATGACCTTTAGGTGGGATAACTCGGTGAATCTCATAATCAAGTGTCCAGATCATATTTCACACAAAAATCAAAAGGGAAAAAAAAGAAATTATATTTTGCATAAGGAAAGAAAATATTGTGGATATATTGTTGACACGTTTTGTGCGATTCCCCCAACGTTATATTAGCTGGACCCAATGTTTGTATTGCACATGATCTGTCTCGATTTTTTTCACACCAAAAAATAAAAGAAAGCAATAAAAGAAAAAACAAAGACGTCTCATATCTGCAGTACGAGCCCAGCGGCAGAGATGTTGTCTCCTCCTCCAGCAGTCTGGTACACCTCAGTGCACACCAGCACAGGAGCCACGCAAACCTCATAGCCGTCCTCATCCCAGCACGAAACGGGTCGGGATTCCTCAAGTGGAATTCTCTGACTTCCTTCTTGCCTGCTAACAGAGAACGATTCGTCCATGATCAGCCGCGCTTTACTGAGATCGATGTCCGGCGAGCCGCAGACGTGCCGGTTGGCGGTCAGAGATGCTTTGGCTGTGGCCGACATGGTGTTCTTCCACTTGGAGCCACGTTTGACGATGATGGCCTGGAAAGCCAGCGTGTGGACGTGAAGGCGTGTGAGCGGCCGACCCGTGCCGGCCTGCCGGTGGCGCTGGTTTACCAGGCGGTAGAGTTCTCGCATCTGGTCCAGCACTGTAGCTACGCGTGGGTTGGGGTCGGAAAGCACTGTCAAGTTGCTGCCGCGGAAAAGGCTTAGGAGATTGGGCAGCTCTTGCTCGTTCATGCCTAATGAGTCGGTGTGAGGAAGAAGAAACTCTAGGAGATCTGACATCAGACTCTTCTCTACGAAGCTGGCCATCTCGAAATGGACAGCGGTCTGCGGAGACGCGGAGGACAACATCTTCGCCA